AAGCCCCAGAATCCTTGCCTCCAAGGAGCAGCCTGGTTTAACCCTCTCAAGGATGAACCTGTTCATTTTCTTAGCAGTCCATGGTATATCTAGTACTCTTCTCCAGCACCACAGCTCAAAGGCGGCATCAATTCTCCCCTGTCCTCCCTAGTCATTGTTTGGTTAAAGAATAGTACTTGGAGATAATAGGTAAAGTGTTTGAGTGGATGAATAAGATGACTAATGATACTAAGCAAATCAACTTTTTATGCATAGGATTGGCAGTATCAGAAGAGGACTTTTAAGAGCTGACTCATACGGTCCTGGCTGTGGGCAAGCATTTCCTTACAGGCAGGTGGTGTGAGTGTAGTTAAGCAATAGAAGCAGCACTGCCAGAGCAGAACCGTCGCCCCAGTGCTGTGGGGTCGGCTCCCCTTCACAGGAGCCCTGCATCAGGTCCGAAGCTGTATCATCATAAGGGAGGTGACTGTCACTGCCCGTCTTTCTCTCCTGGGATGACTGGTGTGTTAAAACTGCCACCCCTTTGGGTTACCAGCCCAGTAGGTTATACCACCCTACCAGAGTCCAAGCCATCGTAGGATAAATTAGAGCATATGTATGGGATAAATTATATTGGAAACAACTCTGTAAAGCAGTTTTATCATTAATTGTAAATTCAGATGCAAAGAAGAAAGTGGAGTCAGTTAGGTTGGTCAGAGGAAGTGTGGAAAATCAAGTAATTTGTTCATTTCATTTTACTTTAGAAAAGCCAGGAAGTAAATAAATGCTGCACTTGCTCCATTGTCCTTATCTACTTTTTGTGAGGATTTTCTTGCTTAAAAGATGCTTCTGTTTTATCTTTTTATTGAGGTCTGATGAGTGGGTGCTGAAAGGAATTTCAGGCTATATTTATGGACTTTGGATGAAAAAAACATTCGGTGTTAATGAGTACCGCCATTGGATTAAAGAGGTAATGATTGAAAACTCCACTTTTAATTCACTAAAAACCTGCTAGTGTGCTACTGGTTTCCAAAACACATGCCCTTTATTTTTAATAGGCATATAAAAATATCTCTTCAGAATTCCTAAGTTCTCACAGTAAAACTGAAATCACTTTCCTAAAAAAGACTAACAGTATATTTGATCTGCATCCTGTGGTCCATCACTTTAGATGCTGGTGTCATCATCTTTATTTTCTTTTAAGTAGGAGCATATTTAGTATTCAATCAGTCTTTTTAGTATCCAGTCAGTCTTTGGATATATTCCACATCCTTCTATTAGTCGTGTTTAGCTTTGTGACTTTGGTCATCGTCACATCCGTATAAGTAAAACAGGGTGATGATGAAGGTCATATCTACCCCATGAGAAGGGACTGGGAAGCATCATGTGTGCAGTGTACTGTGTGGTGCCCTGTATGAGGTAAGTGTTTGTGATAGACTGACTAGTGCTTGAGGGTGATTATACTCACTGTGAGAGTGGATCTTTTTCCTACTATTTAAGGATTTGATCTGTCCAACTTTTCCCTCAAACAAACAAACTTAATTGCTTAGCCCATTCTGTTCATAATAGAGCTCTGGTGGCCTAGTTCTAAGGACCTGCATTGCCAACCTAAAGGCATGCAGTTCCAGCCAGCCAGCTATTCCACGGGAGAAGAATGGGCGGTCTCCTCCTACGCTGTTTACTGCCTCTGAAAACTCTCTAGAAGGTCAGCTTAAAGGCCAGTTCCAACTCCATAGTATGTAACAGTTATAACGACAATTGTAAAAATTCTGTTCATCAACGTTTTTACTCATACTGTACTTAGCTTTTTCCTTTCCGGGTGGAAATACATCTTTTCCAATGACATTAAGCAAAACCTTCCGTATTCTCCCTTCTGTCCTTTTATTTTCATTATCAAAGCCTATACTCAAGTAAGTTCTGAAGTTAAAATTGTAAAAGACTTTGAACATCTAGAAATAATAAAGGATTCATGCTTCCAAAAGGGAGAGATCATCTTCATTTTGTAAACTACTGAAGGAAAAAAATAACATTTAACCCTTAACAGTGTATCCAATACATCAGAAAGATTTTAGAAATATTAACTAATGCTCTGAAAACTGAAGCATGGAAGGGTTAAGTTACACAGTAAGTAATAGAGTTAGGATTTAAACATGACCTTTAGCCATTTTAATGTGTTTTTAACACATCAATGTTATATTTCCACTACTGTCTGTCAGTTTATCTATTGACTGGCTTTTGCTATGATGCTAGAAATTTTGTTACTGGTATTTCAAATACCCTCAGATTAGATTAGAAGAAAAGCCTAATGTTCTAACTCTAAAATACCAGGTCATAGCAATCCTGGGGCTAAGAACAGAATATTGTCCCCCTGGCCTCAGACATGCCGCCACCTGGGCCCTCGCGCAGGGCTTGCACTCCTTCATTCTGTTACACAGTCACCAGGACTCTGCCAAGAGTGAGGGTAGCTAACCGCACCCGGGCCGCAGCTGTGTGGTTTAAACTGGACGTGACTGTCCAGCACAATTGAATTCTCGTGGGTTTTTTACTGAGCATTTATTTTTTTTCTTAATTGAGATTTAATTGTAAGTTTATAAAGAACTTGGATTTCCATGCAATTTCGTTGTACATTTTCCTCCCCCTCTCCCCCCAGTTCGCTTTTTTCTTCGGGAAAAAAGTTCTTTCATTGTTATACAGTCCCCGCCCCCAGAGCACTTTACTATGCAGCTCTTATTCTGGACTCTTAACATGCCAGAAATGCCTAATCACATATTCCTTTTATACAGTTCTCTCCCTCATCTGTTTCAATGCCATGTACATTATTTATCCCTGAACATTTAGTTTTTTAAACTTTTTTCTAGCAAAGGTTTTTTAAATGATGGATTCCTATAATTTTATCCCCATTTCTTCTTCTAACTTGCTTATTAAATCCCCCAAAGACAGAAAAGGAAGAAAGTAAGTTCAAAGTCCAGTCAGAGAGGTTGGAAGGAGCTGTTAGGAACTGTTGCCAGGCTGCTTTCTGGTCAGCCCTGCGGCCGTGATGCGGAGAGGGCATCTTAGCTCTGTCGTTTGGTCTGCCGTGTAGTCGGCTTTGTTTATGAGTACATAGCATACTCTGGAAATAGATGTCTCACTTATTTTAAGAAATTTCGATTCTGGTTCCAGGAAATGAGAACGCACAGCTAAGTTTGATGTCTGATATATAAAAAAAAACAATTTCACTGATTTCTGTTTTTACTTTCTGTTTCTTTAAGGAACTGGACAAAATAGTGGCATATGAGTTAAAGACTGGTGGAGTGTTACTGCATCCCATTTTTAGTGGAGGAAAAGAGAAAGATAAGTAAGTTTATTTTTTTTAGAGGTGATATTTTAAATCTTACTTTTAAGAATCACCATTCTTCGGTCATTGAGGCCCACACAAAGCCACAGGAGTAGTGATAGTATATGGTAATTTTGATGCCATAAATGCTGGTAGATGGATATTTGCCATGATGGTAAAATTCTTGCAGATACTTTGTAATATCTTTTTTTACTCAACACTACTTCAAAATTTCTCCAATTCTTACACCAGCTCCTACATTTTGTAGTTTGATGTTTGTCTTTCTCACGGCTGATGATGGCAGTCTCTTCCCGTGCGATTTACTGCCTTCGAAAACCTGCTGGCTGGTCAGCTATGGGTCGGTTCCGACTCAGCAGCAATGTACTGCGGCAGGAGCTCTGGTGATGCAGTGTGTTACATGCTGGGCTTCTAACCAGAAAGTCAGTGTGTGAATCCAGCTGCACATGGGAGGAGGAGGAGGGGCTGTCTGCTCCTGTTGAAATTTACAGTCTTGGAAACTTGAAGGAAGGTCACCGTGAGAGGGCACCTACCTGACAGCTGTGGGCTTGGGGTTGATGGTAAAAGGATCTTCTCCTGTAGGTGTTGGTTTTTGGAGTGTCTTCCTTTGTGAAGGACCTTTCATGTCCTTTATTCATTTTTTTAATACATTGTCTTTTCCTTGATGCTTTCCATGTACTGTGTCTTAAAGATTAAATCTTGATCATATGTTTTTTTTTTGTTTTGTTGTTTTTTGTTTTTTTAAAAATTATGGAACGCTTCACGAATTTGCGTGTCATCCTTGCGCACGGGCCATGCTAATCTTCTCTGTATCGTTCCAATTTTTAGTATATGTGCTGCCGAAGCGAGCACTTGATCATATGTTTTATTCTCAGAAGATTTTATTTCCCCAGTCCATCCATTGTCTTAACTCTTTGGATAAAATATTTTGATGAGCATACTTATTTAATTTTAGAAGATCCCAGTTATCTGTCTTCACTTATTCTTGGATGTGTAGCTGTGTTTGTCATCCACTTCTGAAGAAAAAGATACCCTGTAGTTTTTTCACAGAAACATTTCAGATTGTAGCTTTAGCATTTAGATGTTAAAACCACTTTGAGTTAAGAAATTTTGGAATTAATTTTCTTGATAGAACTATGAAGTTTATCTCTTGTTTAAATGTTAAGTTGTGTTCAATTAAGTAAATCTCTGTCTCTCTTATTTAGTCCCGCATCCCATCTTCACTTTTCAATAAGACATCCACACACTCTCTCCTGGGAATATTACACCATGTTCCAGTGTAAAGCACACTTTGTGATGAGATTGATTGAAAATAGAATCAGTATGGAGTTTATGCTACAGGTAAGTGTTAAAGAACTTAATGATGGTAAAGAAAGATCTGTGCGTGTGTTATCTTACTCAGAGCATTTAGCTTGATCGTTTCATTTCTCTTATTAATTAGGATCTTTGTTGGTTTAGTGAGTTATGTGTTGAATTGTTAATTAAAAGGTCAGCTGTTTGGATCCATCAGAATAGAGTGGAAGAAAGACGGGCAGTTTATCCTGTATAGATTTACAGGCGTGGATACCTGCTGGAGGGTCGCCAGGGGCCAGAATGACTCTGGGGCAGTGGGTTTGTAATATTTGCCTGCCGTTTGCCCACTCTGTAACCATGAGAAATTTTTGTGTTTGTCATTTGTAGTTCTTCAGTTATAGAATACCCATGTTTGTGCCACTTTGCATTGAATTATTGTGAAAAATAAAATTAGGATGTGGTAATAAAATGAAAACCTGTTTATGCTTGTGATTTGTTTTCTGCTTTCCTTAGAATGTTGACATTAAGAATGATGTGCTGTTTAGAAAACTTTTACTGTGTTTGGGTTTTTTTTTCTCTTAGTAGCTAAAACTAAGCTACAAGATAATTTTTACTGCTTTAATTCTCCTGTATAGTCTAAGGAAGTTTTGAAGTACCATTTCAATAGTTACAAAACAGTTGTAGTATAAATGTTTAGAAATATCATTGATTCATAATATTAGCAGTCAATGAAAAATAACTTACTAATTTTGTATAATTATTTTTCATTTTCCTAAAAGAAAATTCCTTTATTCTTCCTTAAAATAGAAAAGAGAGTAAATATGGGTGAGGGTGAGGGAAATTGGAAGAATCTGGTGTGGAAAACAATGTATTTGAATTTTGTAAATAAACTAGTATAATAAAAAAAAAAATAAGAGTTCATTCATAAATGGCCATTTAACTTTGTGGGATGGTATAAATCCAAATGAGTATTCTCGATTTCTTGAATAATACCAGTTTCTCTATGGAGCTGGTAGTGTACTAAATTACAGGCATTATATTGTTTATTCATTATTAATTATAATATTAGTTATGATTATCAGTAAAAATGCTTTTGTGTTTCTAGGATATCATTAATATTCATTAATCTTTGTAGGAAAAATGGTTTTATTCTTTTTAGATCTTTGCATATTTCTATTGCTGTGTACTCTTCAACCTGAACTGTACGTAACATAAACACACAATAACTATAATTGCCTATAATGAAATGATCTTGAAAAGTATCTGTAGTACAGACTTTCAAGCAATATGCTATGTCATATAACTTTACTAATTGATACTTCTGGCCTTCCAGGTTTTCAATAAGCTGCTAAGTCTGGCTAGTACTGCTTCATCTCAGAAGTTCCAGTCTCACATGTGGAGTCAGATGCTGGTTTCCACACATGGCTTTTTGAAATCCATCTCCAATGTCTCTGGCAAAGACATCCAGCCTTTAATAAAGCAGTGGGTGTATCCTTTTAATAGGAAGTAGTTCGTAGAGGAGGGAAGGGAGTAAGGTGTGTGTATGAGGGAAAGGTGGGGGCCAAGGGACATCTGAGGGACTAAAGAGGGGGTATGAATTATTTCATTTTCTAAATACTTTGAGAAATGCCTGAACTGTGAAGCATTTTCTTGAGTTGCCTACTAATCAAGTCATAGGAATATATATGTAGCTGTGTATTTTAAATTTGGCATATTCTGGAATTGTTTTTAGTGTGAGTAAGGTAATAGATTTGTTGGTTGAGGAGATACATAATTCACCAGACGTGGCTGTAGAATTACTTAAGAACATGTGGTTGGCTGGTGAGTCTGAGATGTGGTTCTAGGTTGGCATAACTCAAGCGGTATCTTGGAACGCTACCGGTTTTGCCTTTTTTTTCCTATTAAAATTCAATTCTGTGAATAACTGTTAGGATAGTTTCCTTCTTTTCAAAGCACAAACTTAATGTTTCAGAAATTTTGTTTGATTCTGGAGAAACTTTTCCACAAAAAAATGTTAAATACTTTGCCATCTGGTTCTCAGTACAGGATGGTCCTCAGGCCTTGAATTCTTGGGGAATACATTTGAACATGATCTCTACTATAATGAACTCATTTGGTTAGTTCATATTCGTTTCATTGTATAAAGATTCCTTTACAGTTCTTTAGAGACCAGAGTGGAGTGGTAAAATTTTACGGGAGTTTTGCATTTAATAGAAAACGAAATGTCTTAGAACTAGAAATAAAGCAAGATTATACATCTCCTGGAACACAGAAATATGTGGTGAGTTTTCGGTTCTACTTTTCTAAACAGTACTTTACATCACTGTCTTCTAATTTCCATATAGGAAGCTCTTAGGCATAAGAAAAAGTAGATGATAGACTGTGAATTATTACAAAAATAAAAGTTTTGAAACTACAAGTTAGAGTTCAGCACACCAGATAAGGTTTTGTTGGCAGAGATTGGAATTGAAAAGTTACTAAGAGTCAGTGAAAGGAGTTATAAGTCGAGATTTCAGTGGGCTCAGACACTCCCAGTTTTCTCATTATTTGGCAATAACAGCTTTTGTCTCCAGAAATAGTATTTTTTTATACTCTAATAAAATACTGTTATTTTTCTGTCATGAGCTCTGGAGGCCGAGTGAATAGAGAGCTGCATTGCCAGCCCAAAGGCAGGCGATTTGAATCCCCCAGCGGCTCCACGGGAGAGCCCGGGCCCATCACCTCCTGTACTATTAACTGTCTCTAGGAGCCTGCTGGGTCGTCAGCTCCGTGTAGCTTCCAGCTCAACAGCAGTGAGTTGTTGCTTGTTGTTAAGCAGAAGCAAGGGGTTCTGGGAGTGCAGTGGTAAAAGCTAATCAAAACGGCTAATCAGAAAAGAGGTGTGAAAAAAAATAGTGCTTAGAATCTACCAACTATGCTATGGGAGAAAACCGCTTCCATAAAGATTTATAGCTTTGCAAAGGGACTTGGAGATAGAAATAAATATTGCTCATTCACACTCTTGCTGTGTGATTACCTGCCCTGATCAGCAATAAAAATTTTAATTGTTTTGCCCTTTTGTGATTTTTTAAATGATCAACATCTTTCTTCAAATTTTTTTTCTTTTATATGTTTGTGTGTTTCTCTTTCTCTTCCTTTTTTCATTCTGCTAATACTTGCATATATATTAGTATTGCCTTTGAAATTACATTTCTTTTTAAAGGGACCACTGAAAGTAACAGTGCAGGAATTAGATGGCTCCTTCAATCATACTTTGCAAATTGAAGAAAACAGTCTTAAGCATGATATACCCTGCCATTCTAAAAGCAGAAGGTAGGTTTTGAATTAGCACTGTAAACCAAATTTATGAAACTGGCGACTATAGTTTAACATGATGTTCTTACAGAAGGACATAGTGCTTGGTAGGGTGGAGGGGTAGCACAGGAGAGGAAGACTCCAGATGAGATGGATTGATGCAGTACCTGGGACAGTGGGGGTTGGTGTGTCAGAATTATTGAGACTGGCTCAGGGCAGGGAGAGGTTGAGAGCTGCTCTTCATAGGGTCGTAGGTGACTCAGCAGCATATAGCAACAATAGTAGTTTAACTCACTACATTGAGATCCTATTGTATACTTTAATTTTTAAGTAGGGTAATTGTTACAGGGTGGTTTTTTTTTTTCTGTAATGCTTCAGGTTAATGTTTTCCAAATACTCTTTGTTTCTAATGCTGGTAACATTTTTCTCTTTAGAAGTTTTTTTTTAAATGTAGCATTTTGAGAATTCATTTCTTGGTGGGAATAGAAGTTTGAGGTTTTTTTGAGCCAGCATATATTAAGGAAGGTAGCTTAGATTTGTTTTTAATAGTCTAAAGCATTATTATCTAGAGGAAGTAGAGGGAAAATGGTAATGGTGATAGCATTAGATACGGAGAGAGGTGCTAATTATGCGTGTAGTGAAAAATTCTAGAGAAGAGAAAGATACTAAAAAGGAGGAATTTTTCACTACCCGCATAATCAGCTATCCCTCAAACTATGCCCTTTTCTAAACCCAGTTTGAATTTCTAGTAATTCCTTGTCAAGCACAGAAGTTATTAAGCAGTATCATTACTATCAAATGCAAGTAAAATTTTGTTGAATATTATTTAAAAATGACTGGAGTGGTACATTGATTAGGAAGTACCAGACATTCAAGCTGGCTTCATGCTGTATTTATACAGTGGTGCCTCCCAGAGATCAGTCCTTGGAGAGCTCTGGTTGGCTGGAAGTCTGTAGGGAATTGCACTGTTAACCCAGAGGCTTAGCTGCTGGCAGTTTGAGGCCATCAAGTTGCTCCACATGATGGAGATAAGCAGTCTCTTCCGTGAGATTCAGAGGATACACTGGTGGCCTAGTGACAACGAGCTACACTGCCAGCCCGAAAGCACATTGCTCAGACCCACCAGCTGCTAGAGGAGAAATACGGGCAGTTTCCTCCCATGTGATTCAGTGCCTCTGAAAACCCACTGGCAGGCACAACAGCTAGGAGTTGCTTCCAACTCAATGGTAAACAACAACTTGAAATTCTTAATTCAAAATTAGAAATCTCACCATTTTGAAACCTTCTTTTCTTCAAATGTAGAAATAAGAAGAAAAAAATTCCTCTGATGAATGGAGAAGAAGTTGACATGGATCTTTCTGCAATGGAGTAAGTGACTTCAGTTTAAAAATAGTAATAGAACTTGTATTATCCTTTTTAGTTTTAAACTTCTCTAAAAGTGTATGATTGACCTGGAAATAGTTATTTCATGGCGTTCTTAAAGACAGTAGAAACATTTAAAAGAACCTCTCCTACAACCATAATTAAGCAGATAGATGAAAGTGAACCTGACCTGACCATCAGGTCTGTGGAGAGGCAGGAGCTTGAGGGGATGGGCCCAGGCGCACCGGGCAGCTTTCCTGCTCCCTGTGGTCTTCAGAGTGGTACTTCGAGACTCTCATGTGCTTTTGAATCATGTCGTGTACTTTGTAAAATGCAGTTTCTTATCTAGTGCTTCACTGATGGGGTCCAGGTGTTTTTAATGAGTTCTCAGGTGAGATTAATTTTCCCCTTTCTTTGGACCAGGGATCCAGAGAGCACTTGGAGTTCCTTTTATTTACTAAATAGTTTCTAAACCACTGTTCCCAATTTCATGTGCTATTATTGATGGTGTTTCTTTAAGTCTGATACAGCTCAAACAGTTGTATTTTATCCATCCATCCTGTGTCTACATGTTTAATGAAACATTTATGCTTGTTTACGAATTTGGTTGCCAAATTATCAATGATATTTATATACAGACCCATTTACTTTAGGATCATTGTTCATTTTTCCATAATAAGTACTTTGCTTGTAGTAAATACTTAGTAATATTTGTGGAATGGAGTTCATATTCCAACTGGTGCTGTTAGGACGGGTGTATTGACATAAACTAGGTTTTTAAAACTGCTTATTAACTTTGTAAGAAGTGTGTGATTTTGCTAACTAGTGCTTTTTATATTGAAAAGCATAAATTTGTTCTGTGTCTCCAAATTACGATTGCAAATCGTAATATTTTGAAAATATCATCACAAGGCTAGCATTTGAAAGAAGGCAAAAAGTTTCGAAAGTCTCTAACAATTTCATAAAATACTTTCCTTTGATTGTCACAGATTGCTGTCCACCAAAGGTTGCTTATTTACAGCTGTAGTGAATGGAGTTTGTAACGTACTGAGTTGCTAAGCAAAAACTAGGCGGTTTGAATCTACAGCTGCTCTCATTGAAAAGGATGGGCCGCTTTGGAAACCCGAGGGAGGCTCGTCACTCTGAGTTGGAACTGACATGTTGTGTTGGCTTCACGATTGTCCCATCACATAGAAACAAAACTTAATCCAGAAGCAAGCTATTTCCAAACAGAAAATGAACAATTCAGAATCCTTTTGATAATTACTGTTTTATCATTGGAAGTCTGAGCAAGTTTGATAGAGATTACCCTTTCTGAAAAAGTTAAAATATATTAGGCATGATAATAAAATTGTCAATGAAGATATAAAACAAATGGCCATCGTACAACTCTTAAGGCAGTCTTGAATAGTACACCTGCAGGCGCCATCTGGCCCGTAAATGAATTTTTTTTTCTTTTCATTTTCTCACTATACGGTACTAAGTTGTAAACTATGGCTGTGTGTCTTTCTCTTCCAGTGCCGATTCCCCGTTGCTCTGGATAAGGATTGACCCGGATATGTCAGTCCTGAGGAAGGTAGAGTTTGAACAGGCTGACTTTATGTGGCAGTATCAGCTCCGCTACGAGAGGGACGTGGTGGCACAGCAGGAATCCATTCTGGCTCTGGAAAAGTTCCCTACCCCAGCATCTCGGCTTGCACTCACTGACATCCTAGACCAGGAGCAGTGCTTCTACCGAGTAAGAATGTCGGCTTGCTTCTGCCTGGCGAAGGTGAGCTTATGTGCAACAGGAAAAAGGAAGGTGACTGCTGCACCGATTATTTGTAACTTCTTGAAAGTTAATTTATAGTCACTGTGATCATTAAGTTTACATAGAGCTGGTCCCTTGAAACCTTTGCCAGGTGTTTCATAACAAAACTGATTTGGTCTTAAAATAATGCATGCAAAGATTTTACAGTTGTCAAACTGAAAAATCAGATAACAAGATGAAAGAGATCATTTTACCATTTTACTGACTTGAAAAACATCTTTAATGCATGAGTTTGGTAGAAATTCTTTCATTTGAATGGTAATTTACGTTTTAGTACATGAAAGCAAGGGATCCTTTTTCCCTATGGTAATTATTTCATGCTGATTTGGACTTAGGAATCAATATTAGTGATACATAATATGGTATAATGAAACATACTAAAATTAATTTATTAAGAAAATGAAATCTTTTTCTTTAGATGCAAAAAAACACTAAAGTTAGAACAAATAAAATCTGAAAGAATATACAGACAAAAATTTGTCCTGAAATACTTGTTTCCAGGTATTTAAAAAAACATCTTCATAATCGATAGGCTCATTCTCATTTAGTGAAGTTCTTAACTTCTTCACTGCTAAACTTGTTAGTACAATAATTGTTTGGATGTGTTTTACTATTAGTGACAAGGGGTGAGGTATTGAATGCCTATTATTTTTCCTCATGGATGAGAGAAAACCTGATTTTCTTTGATACATCTGCTAAAGAAGTAATGTCATTACTTCTGTAAAGAGCTTTGCAATTCTTACATGCTGAATTTTTAACAAAGCCATAAAACTAGAATATATAACTTTAAATTAATCACCATTTTATTCTTTTGAGACAGATACATTTTATATACACTAAACATATAACCAGAAGATAATGGATTGTTTGGGAAATGTTCCTACAAATGTAAATGGTAGTATTGTAAAACTATTGTAAATTGAGAAACATGGCTTGTTTTTCAATTAGAGTAGATTGAAAAACCTTATAAAAGTCTCCAGTGATGTGTCTCTTAAGTACATTAGAATTAAATCTAAGACAGACGACTTCACATTCAGAATAGAAACTTTTTGTAAACACATATGTAAACAGGAGAATAAGTACTGATATTTAAAAGTTAAGTGCACATATAATTTCATTGTAAGTAGTTTATATTTTTTTTAAACAGTAGTGAAAGGCTATAAAGTATTGAATTTCTGAGAATTGATATTGTATGGGTAAGGTTTAGAAAGCTGTTTTGCTAATCTAAACTATGCTTGCCATGGTGATGGAAATGATTTCATCTTCTATTTACTCAGATTGCAAACTCGATGGTGAGCACATGGACAGGACCACCAGCTATGAAGTCACTCTTCACTAGGATGTTTTGTTGTAAAACGTGTCCAAACATTGTGAAAACAAACAACTTTATGAGCTTTCAAAGTTATTTTCTACAGAAGGTACAGTTTACATAAACTTTCCACATGATTCTATTTTATGCCACTATCTCTGTATCTCAGTTTAAGTTGGGAAACTATTCAAATACTGGGTATGTTTATTTTCTTCCAGGGCTTCAGATCAGTTCTTCCCAGTGCAGTCAGGGCTAACAGAGTAATTGGAACACACTTGGATTTGCACAGTATGGGTGTACTGGAATGAGTACCAAAATGGGAAACATTACACGTTGACACCCTGTTAAAAACTTAATCTCCCTCTTGGAAAACAAGGGCAGCCTGTTTGTGCGAGTCAGCCACATCTCTTGACAGGAACAGATGGTGCAGTAGTGTACAGCTCGGGGATGACGCGCAGCCATCCGCAGGGCCGGCTCGAACCCTGCATTCTCCCCTGTGAGACTCGCTCCTCACAGGGCGCACTGCACTGCTTCCACTCTCCCCTTCCCTCCAGGGCCGTGACTCATCTCGTTTCCCATTCAAATCATCACCTAGTACACTGATATTTTACAAACTCAGGTCTGTTCCAGTTTCATTGTATCAGCCATGACTGGACCAGTGTGAACTGAATTGAAGCCCTATTTTCTTAGAAAAAGTTTTCTTTGTTATTTATTTGTTTCTAAATTTTTTTTAAAAAAAACTTGAAGCAATCATTCATTAATTTTATGGCCTGTGCGCAAGTAAATGTCATTATGCACGTTAATAGCATTAAGGCTACTTACCCCCAGACACTGACACTGATTCAGTTGCATGGCAACCCTCCTTGGGTTTTGGAAGTTGTAAATCTTTATGCAAGGAAATTGCCTTTCTTTGTCACATGGAACAGCTGTGCCAACCTTTGGTTGTCAGCTCAGTATGCCACATGTTACACCAACAGGACCCCTTAGTATAGAGGTTGTTGTTATTCTGTGCCATCAAGTCACTGGCAACTAGAAACTTTTCCCTTTGGTTGATTACATGGAGAATACAAGTAGGATCACAGTCCTTCTAGACTATTAAACACGCATTCCAAACTCGTTTCCATTAAGTATGAACCAATTAAATTCTGACCCACCACTAGTTTCACTAGTTTTCGGAGACTGGAAATCATATGGGAGGAGATGCATATCTGTCTTCTGTGGAGCACCTGGGCTTTCAAACTGCTGGGGAGGTGCAGTCTTCAGGTTAGCAGGAAATTCCCTTGGGACAGAGCTCCCTTTCGAGAGTATGGTGGTGGTAGGGGCCATTGAGTATGACTCATAGTAGTCTTATCAGCAACCAGTCTGAACCCCGCCCTAGCCTATGTTGTTGTTGTTATGTGCCATTGAGTCACCTGTGACCCTAGCCTGTCATCCTCAGAATCTGTGACACACTCATGCCCATTGCTGCACTCACTGTGTCAGTCTACCTGGTTAATGACTTTCATCTCCTTCCCCATCTCTCCACCTTTCCAAGCATGAGGTCCCTATCCAAGGAATAACCTAACTCTAGAATGCAGACAGCTTAAATGGTCAGAAGCAATAAAACTTAGAACTCTTAGTGCAGCTAGGGCTTCAATCCAATTTCACTCCTATTTTTGCTACTTAATACATGGATGCAATTTTTAACCTCTTAAGGTTCAGTTTGTGAACGTGAAAAGATTGTCTTTTTCAAGAGTAAAATTAAACCAAGCATGTTAAGTCGTTTTATACTATGCTCTCTTGACAGTAAGTTTTCCATAACAGAAATTTAGAAAGTGGTGGTTGTGGGGTGGTGGCTTTGAGTTACTGTTTGTAGTCGCTCTGTTTTGAGAGCAGCCCCACTGACTACTGTTGTTACTCTGGCACGCGAAGGGTCTTCCCCTTTTTGGCCTCCTGGTTTAGAGGATCTAATTCTTTTGACGAGAGGAAGTCGTTTGAATCTTCTTGTCTGCTGAGGCCTGTGCTGTCTGTTCATCTGTATAGTTCGGCCTGGAGTTGAGCGAATTTCATTTTATTGTTAGAAGTTACCACCTTATGTGAGTCATATTTCCACCTCTGTAGAGAAGTTGTTTATGAAAATTTGGAAAGGAGAACATCAGTGACTTGCAGTTTTTTCCTAAAACTAGGCTGAAAATGGAATTGATTGAACTCCACTGTAGGCCCTGTGATTATGATTTAATTTAATACTCAGGATGCTTGTGGGAGAAACCGAGATTTCTAAACAGTAAACAAATTAGAAGTTGAATAATGGTTTACCTGCGGCTAAAAGTCACACATAGAGCTGAATTAATTCTGTTTACACATTACTTATACTTTCCATCCTCTGAGGCTTATGGGGCAGTGGGGCTTGGTCTGTCGGAATTAGTGAGACTGGCTCAGGACAAGGAAGGTTTCAGAGTTGCTGTACATAGGGTCACTAGACATGGCAGGCGACTCAAGGGCACATAACAACAAAAACATACTATATTCGTTGTTTGTATTTAAGTCTCTTGTTTAGAGTCAACAAGACCTCAGGGAGGGCCTTTTTACTTAAAGTTGGTTGTTATCGTATTTTGGAGGAACATTGTTCTAACTGGTACAGCACTCTTCTGTCAGTCTGCTGTACTCAAGTAACCTGGAGTTGTTGTGATGCTGAACCTTGTGCCATTTGAGTGTTAAATGCCATAACAGTACCCCATGGTAGACAGTGTTTGGTAGAGCTCCCAGCTTAAGACAGGTTTGGAAGCAGGAGTGGCATCCACTTCCTAAATAACGTGCCTCTGGAAACACTATGAACTTTGATAAATGTCAATAGTTATAGAAAGGCTTCTGCCTTTTGTTTATAGGGTCGCTATGAGTTGTGCTTGACTTGACTGCATTCAACAACAACTAGGCTTATGGGCTACAGAGAGCTTCCTGTACCTCTTCCTTTGTTTTCCAACTTTCTCTTCTTTGAATACTTTTTACATCTTTTCCGTGAAGAAGGGTGGGAGTTTAGGCGGCTTTGGCTTGTTTTAGAAAATACGTTTCAGCCTTAGAGTAATCCTTTTTCTGTATGTAATTTCGTGAATTGTAATGATGATAAATTATTCTTTCCTTTTTCAGACTATGCCAGTTGCAATGGCTTTGTTGAGAGATGTTCATAACCTCTGTCCCAAAGAAGTCTTAACATTTATTTTAGACTTAATCAAGTATAATGACAACAGAAAAAACAAGGTAAGGCACCTTTCATAAGGTTGGGAAATTACCCATTGGTGTTTTGTGTGTAAAGAAATGAGTAGTCATTGTTGAAATCCAGAAACCACACTCATTGCTGTCGAGGAGATGACAAGTCATCACAAGCCTCTGCTGGGCTTGGAGGCTGCAAAGCTTTATGAACAGAGATTGCTGAGTTTTTCTCCAAAGGTAGACTGGTGAACTCAAACCACTGACCTTTCAGTTAGTAGCTCCACGTGGTATACAGTAAATGTTACCAGGGATTCTTAATCATTATTAAGTTCATGGTAATTAATATTTTTAGAGATAGAGACAGGCAAACAGGATTTCTTGGAATGAATAATCAGTGCATGGAAAAACGATTATTTGTTGGTTTTGAAAGATTCTTCATATCTGTGAGGATATGGACATACATAATGCATCAAATGTAGTTGGAGTGCAAACTAAGATTCAATTTGGTGAAATCTGGCAACACAGTTACATTTTTATTTTTCTTGTACCAAGTAAGACAGTTTCTTGTACTCACAAGAGAGTTCTCGCTCTCACCCTTCTTTTCTGAATTGATCCTCCCCCATTAGCGTAAGGTCTGTGCCCCTAAGATCTATCTAATCGTTTGAGTTACTGTTTTCACTTTGACTCCATATAGATAGTTGAGAAAAGAATATCATTTTCAAGGCAGGCATTTTTTACAAGTTAAACTGAATTACATTATTTGATTTTGGGAAAACTTCCAGGAATATTTTTTAATTGACATTTTAAAGATTATCTCAAGTTCCTCAGAATTTTAAAGCATTGTTCTTTATCTCTGAGGGAGCTTTGAGAGAAGCCCAGTGCTCTTTTCGTTTCTGTTCTTTTATGTGTGCAACATATGGTTGGGTTTTTTCCCTCAAGAAGATAGAAAACATGTGTTTGCAGCATGTGTTTCTCTTCAGTGTCCTGAAGTTTCACTGGATTCCCCCTGTGGACTGGGAACAGCATTGAGCGGATTGCTCACGAGCCCTTTCAATCTCAGCTCTCATCTTCTTTTGGCTCTGGGAAATGTTACGGAATTAGTTTCTTTTTAAATGGCTTTCTCCTGTGTTTTTCTCTACTTCTTTTTCTAGAACTATTATCATTGGTACTGTCTTCTATACCAGCCTTCTCATGACTTTATGCCTACTTTTTATTTCTCTTTGTTCAGAAGTTTAGATGGTATTTTTTTGTCATCATATTTAATTCTAATCCTTATTTTCTGCATTTTTGTGGGTTTTTTTACATAATATTCTTCAAAACTGAGGTACTCTGACAATATTACTTTTATTTTTGCTGCTTTTGTTTTTCCTAGACGCTCTTATTTTCTCCGAGTTGCTTTGGTTTTGTTTTAATTTTTTCATAGTAAAATATATCAAGTTTAAAAATTGCTATGTTAATTATTTTCAAGGGCACCATTCAGGGATGTTCGTAATCTCACCATATTGTGCACCCTTCTCCACCGTACGTGTCCAGGTGTCTCCCATCAACAGAGGCGGAAACGTAGCCTCCTCAAGCAGCTGGTCCTGGTTGCACCCTTCCTAACCACTAATGAACTCTTGTCCCTTCTTATTTGTTTATCCTAGTTTTTCAATATTTATCGTACCACATTTTGTATATCCCTTCATGTGCTGATTGGTCCTTGGGTGATTTATACCTTTGACTATTGTGAATAATTTTCCAGTAACTGTCGGTGTGGAGAATCTGCTTCATGTCTGTTTTCATGTCGTTAGGGTATATACCTGGGAGTGGACTTGCTAGATGATAAGAAAATTTGGTCTCTTAATTTTTTTATATTGATGTTTCCCCCCCAATACTTTTTTTTTTCCCCCAATACTTTTGATCCTTGGTTATATATTTATATTTGAGCGTTTTTATTGTTGTTGTATACCACTGAGTTGGAATTGACCCATAGCTGACCCTCTGGTGGGTTTTCCGAGGCAGTTAATTGCACTGGAGAAGATTGCCCTTCCTTTCCTCTGAGCAGCTTATAGCCTTGAACCTTTTGCCTTCGGGATTGCAGTGCAGCTGCTTACCACTAGGCCACCAGAGACAGTAGAGCAATAAGTAGCTCATTTGGAGCTCTTTAATTATTGGCAGGAATTGTGCTCTGGTTTTCCTTCAAGAGGATTGTGTCTGGGGGTACTAGCAATTATCGATGATAAAAAATGGTTGCGTATTTACAAGAACTTGATTATGTTTTCAGATAAGTTATGGTTTTTAGCTACAAAGTCTTATTAAATTTTTTTTAAGACTATTAATTTTTGATAGAAGTATGAATTACTTTATTGTTTCTTAAATTGGTTTTTGGCTTAGTTTTCAGATAACTATTATCGTGCAGAAATGATTGATGCCCTTGCCAACTCTGTTACACCTGCGGTCAGTGTGAATAATGAAGTCCGAACTTTGGATAACTTGAATCCTGATGTGAGACTCATTCTTGAAGAAATCACCAGGTTTTTGAATATGGAAAAACTTCTGCCAAGTTATAGGCATACCATCACTGTGAGGTATAATTAAACTTTTCACTTTTTCTTTAAAGTTGTTTTTATAATTATAAAATAAATTTATCCTCACTATAGAATACTGAGAAAATAAGGAGAAAGGCGAAATGAAAATCTTCCATGAATCTTCCATTCGTAGATAAATTGTTAATGTTTTAGATAATCGTCTTTTGATAACTCAAGCTTCCCCCCCTTGTTGTTGTTAAGTGCCATCGAGTCGCAAGCGACTCATAGCGACCCTATGAAGGAGAGTCCTCAACGCTTGGGTGTCTTTCATCCTCTCTCCAGGTTCATAGGGTTTCCGGAGGCAAGCTATTATGGAAGAGGGTGCCACTCCTCCTTTCTTCTGGTTTTTAATCGGGGAGCTCCACCCCACTCTCTGTCCGCATTGGGTAGCCAACCATTATCGCATTTGACACATCCGTGTCACAGTGTTGAGCCTCACAGCAACCACAAGTTACTGCTGTACGGCAACTTGTACACCAGGGATATACGACCTAGAGGAATGTCTGAACAAAAATAATGAAAGACAGGCCTGAGGGCTGCGGATTTAAAGTCACCCACCTTTGGCTTGGTAGCATCGCTTTCTGTTTCCCTTCCCCCTTTAGTTACTGTGTAAATTTAGCAGCGTGGAGTCTGAATCCACTAGCTGCTCAGTGGGAGAAGGATGGGCAGTGTCCATATGATTAACTGTCTCAGGAAACCTGCAGGAGGGTCAGCTGGGGGTCGGTTCTGACTTGACAGTATCCAACAACAGCAGTACATATACACACATGCATAGTTTTTATACTATTCCCATAAATAGTTTTCTCATATCCTCTGAAGTTTTTCAGAAGCATTATTTTTGATGTCCACATAATTTTCTCATTGGCTATATTATAAAAGTTTCTGTTTTATCAAACTTCCTTTTATATCATATCTTTTTTATTCTGCTCATTTCTTTGTATGTAGCTATCAAAAAGTTCTGCTTATTTTTCAGGAGCTTGAAAGAACTTAATCCTCTGATTTATTCATTATAGATAATGTTGGCCTTTCATTGTTGAATTTTTACTAAAGTATATATTAATAAAACTTTGATGAAAAGACTTTCTTTGAATTATATTTTGTTCTGATAATTCTTTTTCCTAATATTTCTGTTATAAGCCACATAGTAGAACTTGTAGTTCTAAGCTTCAAGCAAGTTTTGGAATTTGTTTTCTTTTAAGAGGATTATGTTATTAATATTAAAGTTATGTAATCATTACAACAATTTAGTATTCCAAAGTGGAAAGGCAGATTTAGATCATATCAGCTTTTCCATTTACTGTCACCAGTTAATCTCTAATGCATAGGAAACCAATTTAGTGAAATACATAATCATGCAGTCCTCCTCTGTTTTCTGATGTAAGGATTGTGTTTGCCTTCTGTTTTCACTTAACATCGATCTTTGCGTAACTATTTGTGCTTTGCAACCTGACCGTGTTGTTAAGTGAAGAGTGGATGTAATTATCTCTCTCCTCCCGCTCCTCCCCAGTTGTTTGAGAGCCATTCGAGTACTTCAGAAGAATGGACATGTGCCGAGTGACCCAGCTCTTTTTAAGTCTTATGCAGAGTATGGCCATTTTGTGGACATCAGGATAGCAGCTTTGGAAGCAGTGGTTGATTATACTAAAGGTAACACCTTAGAACACATACCCATACCATATTTTAAATAAATATTTTATCATCTTTAAAGTGGAAGTTTTTTAACAAATTAGCTTCCTATTTAATAATTTTTGCCCAAAGGACTCAGTGATATTTTTAAAAATAATATATGCAAAATAAATGAATGAATGAATGTAATCAAAGTATGTTGTTGATTGCCTTCAAGTCGAGCACGACTCATAGCGACCCTGTGAACAAAAGGCCGGAAGCCCCTCTACAACTGTCGACATTTATCAAAGTTCATAGTTTCCGGAGGCAAGTTGTTTAGGAAGTGGATGCCACCCAGATTACATTTATTTATTTCTCATATATTTAAGAATTATTTTTTATTCTGTATAAGGAGAAATGTGGTCGCTGTGAAGCTGAACACTGTGACTCTGATGTGTCAAATGCGATAATGGTTACCCATGGTGGACAGTGTTTGGTGAAGCTCCCCAGTTAAAACAAGCTTGGAAGCAGGAGTGGCATCCATTTCCGTAAATAGCTTGCCTCTGGAAACCCTGTGAACCTGCAGAAACGATGAAAGTAACGTCAAGGACTTCCATTCATAGGGTCGCTATGATTCATCTATGACTTGACAGCACTTAACAACAACATAAGGAGAAATGTGGCAGCAGGAGTGGAGGAAGACTCATCAAAATCTGCGTTATGCAGATGACACAAACCCTACTTGCTGAAACTGAGGAGGACCTGAAGTGGTGCTTGCTGCAGAAGGTCAGGGACTGCAATATAGTCTTCAGTATAGATTGAAGTTCA